CTCCTTCTCCCGAATCCTGAACGCAATCCTGTAACGAACAGGTGACTACCTACCGGAGGAAATACCGCAAATCGTCCTCCTCACCTTCGACGATTCCGTGAACGACTTGAACAAGGGTCTCTACGCCGACCTGTTCGAGAAGGGACGGAAGAATCCCAACGGATGTCCCATCTCGGCCACCTTCTACGTGTCCCACGAATGGACCGACTACAGCCAGGTTCAAAATCTTTATGCCTCGGGTCACGAGATTGCCTCCCACACGGTCTCGTAAGTAATCGAATCGTCATTAAGATCTGCGAACACCGCCGCCGCCGCCGGGCAGGAAAAGTGGCACACGGTTTTTATTTCGATTTTAATTAAATGAGCCACGCGCGCGCGACAAATTACGCAAGCTCGCGGCCGTTGATACTATACGCCCGACGATACGTTTCGTGTAAACCTTGGCACGACCGGGAGATTTCTTAAACCTCTCGCGCGGTTGATGTTTACTTATCGTAACTATATTTCCATGCCACTCATTCGGGTAATCAGAAGGCATACGTGTAAATTAAACATATATTGAGTATACGTCAGTTGTACAATTATAAGTATCGGTCGTTTCTCCCGTTTGCATTATACGCTATCTATATGATTTATGTTAGCGATATTAACAATAATCATAAATCACAAGTTCATAGTTAATTATCGAGATTTTTTAATTATTCTTGTCCGTAAAATCAAGCGCAACCCGACTTCGCAATCATGCTTATTCAACAATCATTCGTATTCATCAACTAATATCACAGATAGGTGCAAATTAATTACAATCGCCTTAAAGGGATCATACATATTTATTGCCTTCTTTATGTTTTACATGTATTTCGGTGAAGCTAACACTAGCTTGTTTCGCTGACAAAGTTTATAAGTCACACTCATGCTTATTGGATCAGTCAATAAATTGCTTTCGCTTTGAATGTTGGATGATTGAAGTGACGCTGGACACACGTTCGGAAATTCTTGTACTTGTTCATTCAAAGTCATCAAGTTTATAAAAGAAATGTAAATATAAGAGGCACGTAATGCACGTAACATAATGACATAACGAGCCACGCTCGTTTTGGTTGTTGCGAAATCATTTCCATTTCTTTTATGCGTTAACTGTCGATATCGTCATTTTGCAAAAGCCGAATGTGTCCAAACGGTAGACGCGAGAGCTTATGTAATCGAATATGGAGAGAAAAAAAATGAAAGGAAAGAAAAGCGTTTCCGACCGTGTCGTCAGCCGCGGTAGAATCGGTGCGGCCGTGAGAGAGTTTAAACTCTTCGTAACCCGAGAGTGATCGACGCGACGATAAATCCTTCGCAACAGGCACAGTTTCGGCGAACAATTTTCGGCGCGAAAGTGGGCGCGAGAGGTTGCTGGGCAGCGCGAAATTCTGGCTGCATACGGAGGCGTCAAGCTGGAGGATGTCAGAGGAATGAGAGCACCCTTCTTATCGGTAATTATCTTTCAACTTTTTTTTGTATTTCTCGCTTCTTATTCTCGTAAAAAAATATTACGTAAAAAAAATACACGCATGATCCTAGAACGATTCTCTTCGGACAAAATCTTACTCTGTAAGATTTCGCGAAAGATTTCGTGAAGCGTTCAAGAGAGCAATGTTTACGGCTGTGTTAACGATGGTGTTTTACGCTACCTGTGGCGCAGGTCGGAGGGAACAATATGTTCAAAATGCTCTGGGACACAAACTTCACGTACGACTCCTCCATGCCCATCTATGAGAACCGACCACCCAGTTGGCCGTATACGCTGGATTACAAGCTCTTCCACGACTGCATGATACCGCCCTGTCCCACGAGATCCTATCCAGGATTGTGGGAAGTTCCTATGGTAATGTGGCAAGATCTCAATGGAGGTAGATGCTCCATGGGAGACGCCTGCAGTAACCCACCGACTCCGGACGGCGTATACAAGATGCTCATTAAGAACTTCGAGAGGCATTACACGACTAATAGGTCAGTAAAGTGCCTCGCGCTACGCGCATGCCGTTATTAGACACGAACAATTGGAAAGAAGAACCATCGTGAAATAAATTTCTCTGTTCAATGTCCGTACTCTTAACAGTTGTTTTTTTTTCACACCACGCGAATTTCTAATTCCTTTTCATAATGCGAGTCTTTTAAATTACGTGGAAAATAATTATTTGAATAAACAGAAAATTTCTCTTTTCATTAAAATTGAAAATTAGACAGTTTGTAAATTTTCTTTGCAAATTATTAGTACTAATATTCTCGTAACTCGACATTTTTTCGCAGATCGCCTTTCGGTCTGTTCTATCATGCCGCATGGTTCACTCAGCCGCATCATAAAGAGGGCTTCTTATCATTTCTCGACACCATCGTCGCGATGGACGATGTATGGATAATTACGAATTGGCAGGCTATACAATGGATCAGAAATCCAACGCCCCTGGCGCTTCTGCACACGTTCGAACCCTTTGGATGCCATTATCCGGTGAGATTTTATTGTAATCAACTCTTTAAGCTCTTTTCCTTACCGAGATCTTGACATTTTACGAACAACTTGTTCGAAAAAAGTGAAATATTATCTTTCATTATTTCTTAAATTGAAAAATATCAATTGTTATATCTTGATGGTTATAGGTAAAACGTATTAAATTGATATTGCAAAGTAGTTAAAAATTATTTAATCTTAAAATTAATTATAAAATAATTTAATCCAATTAAAATTAATAAAAAAATTATTTAATTTTAAAATTATCGTAAACATTATTGATTCTTACGACCAATGATATATTTAAAATTTCTCTTTAATAACAATACAACAACGATCCTTGAATTAGTTTTATCTTACGTGCAATTATACACGGTCTAAAAACTCTATTATTCTCTTACGTTATCTCTCTTACGTTATTACGATATTATCTCTTACGTTACCGCGAATATGCAGGACCGACCCAAGAGATGCAATAACGCGAAGGTCTGCAATCTTTGGCACAAGAGTGGAGTGAGATACATGAAGACCTGCCAAGCGTGCCCGGACATTTATCCTTGGACAGGCAAGACCGGTATACGTAGCAGTCGCATCGACAACGAAGTCGACGCCCACGAATGAGTTACACGGAGAGGAAGCTTCAAACTTCGTTGCGACCGGACGGAGTCCCGTCGAACGAGCAGCGGACCCGGACAACGCGAATATCTAAAAGAGACGCTTAAACGAGATCTTAATCTTCCAGACGTGGGGGTCCCTTGGACGTCTGAGAGAACTTGTCAATCTCCCTCGGACGTCCGAGGAACATCCGAACATCTTTCGGACGCCTTTTAAACATATATATATATATATATATATATTTAGACGTAGACATCTTTTGGACTTTCGCATTGTTTGGGAAGCATTGCGGTAAGCGCGCGAGGGGAGACACACACTCTTCTGTTCGGGTAGGTAATTTAAAGTATTACACGCGCGTGTCCCGACGGACACATTTCGGGCCGAGTACGCCGATGCAAGTTTTATGCTGGAGTAAGATCTCGCGAAGTTCCCGCTTTCGTCGCCGGATCCAGATTGGAATCGCGCCCTACAGCGCCGGATCGGACCTCTAAACGAGAATATCGTTATCTGGTAAATTTATAACGGAAGTTTCATAGTAGTACTTATCAGTAATAGCTCAAAGTTCATTCCGAGAAAGAAAGAAATAAAAAAATATTTAGCACGTAAGTCTACATGTAGATTATTTTGTCGGCCAGAACTTTCTTCTATAAGTGATTGCGAACCGCGCGGGCGACGAATTGATACTGAAAATGAAACGATTGGAACGGAGAGCGATATGTACGAGATGCCGAATTAGATTAAATTAAATTAAATTGAAGATTGACAGGAGAGAGCGAGATCGCGTGTGCAAGGTCGCACGGAAAATGCCTAAAGTGTAACATTTTTTCTTTTATTTGCCTCTTTGAAAACCAGCTGAGGAGAAATCGGTCAAAGGACCATGTTACTTTTCTCTTTGTATTTTTTCCTTATTTTTCTTTTTCGCAACTTCTTTCTTCTTCCCGCTTCAATTTTTTTAACTATTCGCAAGAACAATACATGTGCGAGGCGCTTACATTTGAAAATCTACATATAAACATAAGTTTTTAAATGTAAGCGCTCGTAAATCTCTCTTTGAGTAAATTTACGCATACATTTCTCTTATGATTAGTTAGAGAATCGAGGCCCCATTCTTTTTTTTCTCTCCTTTTTTACATTCTTCTTTCTCAAATTCGCAAACATCCTTGGCGTACTCGGCCAAATTCGGCCAAATAGAGCAATTAATTAAATCGCAATACGTAATAATTAATCGTCGAGATGTAAGTGTAAACGTCGGTCGCGCCAGAAACGCGCGCGCCCGCGCGCGTATCGTATTATTAAGCGAAACTCGCGACGGTCGAGATCGAGATTTCATCATGCGCGGAGGTCACTTTGTGGAAGAAGTAAGGAGAAAATTTCACACTCGATACGAAGTATCGTGCGCACGAGGGGATCGTCGTGTGTTTATCTTCTAGAACGTAAAAGTGTAATATGCCTTTAATAAATAAATATTTCGCTAGAATATCTCCTTTCCGTTTTTAACCAGCGTCCATGCAGATAAAAAATCGTGGATTTGTGAATAGAATATTAATACGACACGATAATAATATGCTAGATGGGAGATCGTATTTTTCGTATCCCTCGTTATAAATGTGCACCAGGCGTTGGTAAGGAATAAAGGATAGTGGACCAGATATCGATGTCGAAGTTTCGAATGTACTGCCAAGCCACGATGTCTGTCGATCCAATGTGTTCCAACCAGTATCGCGCCATATTATTATGAATTTTCTCCCTCCATGTCTGCAATAAAAAATTTATCGGATCATTTAGAACACTTATTTGTCCATTAATCATCATCATTCATCAATATTGCTATCAACGATAAATTAATTGAAAATTAAAGATTTATTTTATTTTATTTTATTTACCACCTTATTTTTTTTTTAATCAAATTTATTACCCTTTTATTTTGCATGATCCATGCCATCATCAATTGGTTTTCTTGTAAGCTTGCGAATTTCTGTGCCTTGTACAAATAGATTCGCGTACTCGATTTGCGGCCTCGAATAACATTCAAGTATGCCATCAACAGATATAAACGTGGTTTTATAACTTTCGCGTGCTTGGAAATTTTCGTGAGACACTTGATAATTTTGGAAATATCTCGAATCAGATTCGATAACTCGTTAGAGTATTTTGAATTGATACAACGCAGCAACATCAACAGGTGACATTCGAGTCCCTTAAAAAAATAGAAAGCGCTGTATTGAAACGAAATCATTTATTGCGTATTATTTATTATAATTCGTAAATATAATTTATTTTTATTTTCATAGCATTTTAGCTTTAATCCCGTTTTTTGTTTGCATTTACTTTATCTATTCGCTGTTTGTCGTGAATATTGCCACACTTTTTATAATAGAAGTCATTGGGATAATAAAAAAAAAATCCTTTAAAATTACTTAACGTATATTTCATTTTTAATTTTGCTTTTTTTTCGGTTTCGTCTCACTTGGATAAAGTTGTTATAATTATTATTACTATATTTAATAACTAATCCCGAAGACAAGAGACATAATAAATTCTTAATATGGTAAATTTATAAAATTATAAATTTTGAGAAATTATTAAATTTATCTAGAGAAAAAAATGATTGAGACAGACTCTTAACTTAAGTTAAGTATAAATAACAAGAAATGTAGATGTTTGAAAATTTAGACATACTTTGCTGCAAGTGAGAATTTGAGAAAAGTCGTTCCAGGTAACTTCTTTTACATATTTTTCCGCGCTGTATGCAAACGTGTTAGTAACGGTATGTTGTCCCCTGTCATCAAATATCACAAGATATATTTTTTTATTGGAGCAATAATTTAACAGTCAGAACACATCGAACAATATTTATTGAATCAATTCTAAATTGCAAGGTTAAAAGTAAAAACGAGAATAGCTTGGAAATGATTAATGAATTTTTGACGAGCAATTGTAAGAGCTTTTTAGAAAAGTTTTTAAGTGCAGGTCGCAAATAACTGATTTATGGCATAATTGTGAGCGAGAAAAAAGACATACAATCTGAGCTGATACATCCATAAATTCGTCAACAACCGGGACAGGCTTTGTTGGTCGCGCCATATGCAAAATTTCAATCTGTAAGCTGCACGGTCATTCTTTTTAGTTAAAATAGCTGCACTGCTTTAACACTTTGATTGCCCGTACACGTAAAATTCGCAAGGATACCGTCATTTATTCACGAATGACGGTTTTATTTACCAGATTAAGAATAATTTTACTAAATATTTAAGACATTAAAAAAACAATAAATTATAAAAACAATTACTAGGTTTATTAATCTCAATGACGAAGTGGCTTGGCAGTCAAAGTGTTAAGAATAGTTTATACCTACAGGCTGTTCCACAATCACAATGCAATTTAACAGTGTACTAATTAGAGTCGGAAATTTTATTATGAAAATTGTCATAAGAATATTAGATAGAGATCGATACACATTAAGCACAAATGTGACCTGTATGTGCGAATTCTACGCGATATTATTAACTAATTCTGATTGTTCCTAACTCGAAAATGATATTTAATTTTCAACTGTATAATTAATTTTTAAAATACGATATTGAAATATTGTACGGTGATTGTGCGGAACATCTTTTTATAAGAAATTATAAAATAATTATTTATGAATTACAATGCATACATACACACAACAATTGCGTTACATTTCTTACCAATAAATTTGTTGTAATAGGTATAAATTGTCTCGTACGATTCCAAAACTATTCCCGCGTCCAATATGAGATCTAAGGAAAGAGCGTAATACCACGTCTTGGCTGACAAATCTACGTCCTCGTCTGCCAAAAAGTATAGTTCTCGTATTAAGTCGACAGTTTCATTCACACGTCTGGTCCATAGCTGATTAAATTATTGGGCAAAAAAGTATTATGTGAAATGAGTAATGATATTCATTTACATAAAAAGATCCAAAAGATGTCTACATAAAAAATATTAAAGCACATGCGAAATCCTTTTTGATTTTGGATCTTTCCTGATGGCATTTAGAAAATCTAACGCAGATATACAAGAGATTCACGAGAGCAGATTAATTTCAAATAATACCATTATCTGAATTAATGACGGCACAATGATCAGCGTCAGTTTATTAAGATGCAACGTTCCAGAGATTTTCAAGATATTTATACCTATGTCCACAGCTTCTTCCAATTCACCTCTTAACACTCTGTTTTCATGTGTGCAGAAAAAATAATTCGAGGCACATAAATTAATTCCTGCATAAAAATTTAAAACGTATTGTACCTGAGTTGATACATCGTTAGATAGATATTTGCCACCATCGTTATTTCCTCGACATCATTCCAGGTGGATTTTCTCTCTATTGTGATTAGCATTAGTCTTTCGATATGTCGTATTAATGTAACGCTTCTTGTGGAATGCAAAACTCGCACTGTCGCAAGATACACTTCGCCTTTCTCTAGAAAACTGTTAACGCTTACGAACGCGAGCTTAAAACTTCTCAAGGCAAACGACTGCGCCGTTTTCAATTTGTTTTCTATCTATAAAAATATTTACGCAAATCATTACACTCGCCACACTTTTTATAATAAAAGTCATCGGAATAAAAAGAGGAGAATCTTTTAAAATATAAATTACATAACGTATATAATCTCTTCCTTAATTTCACTTTCCTTTCGGTTTTCGTTTCACTTGGATAAATCCTCTGCACAAATTTAATAAACAGCTTATACGTACCATGTATACGATGCTAAGACGTCGCAAGTACGACGCTAATTCTAATTCCTTTACAACGAGTCGCCTTGACTCTTCATCAACCGTATATTCAGGAAAGTCGATTTGCAGTTTGCAAAACATCTTTAATATTATTTTGTAACAGGCGCCTATCTCCTTGGGCGGAGTACCTCGAAGTTTCACCGCCGAGATGTAGTATTTTTTAGCTTGATTGTAATTTCCTAGTTTGCTGTGAGCATCGCCTGAATATGATTAATATTATAATATATGCAGTATACATATGATAAATAACGGTACACTTTCTCTTCATGCAGAAGAAGTTTTTACACGGAGCGGTGACTGAAATAAATAGAGATATTTTATTTCATCACGCGGAATAGTTCCGTAAAATTTCACAGACCCATTAAAGCTAGAATGATTCCTTTATTCGAGATACTGTCCTCCACGTTCTCATTGATCCACTCGTTCATTTCGGCGAGCCTACTTCTTTCAGCGGCGAGCGAGAGCAGCTTAAGGGCATAAAGAGGTTGCGCAACCTGGATCATTCCGGCACTGTACTCAATAAAAAACTCGAGTACTTTGTTGATTTCTCCTAAAGAATACAATTCAATGAATTAATCTAATAATTACAGTCAGAGTGTTTTATGTTTCGTAAGATTGTGCTTAAAATAATAGGATTATTATTATAAAAAGTATAAATATTATAGATATTAATTTACCACTTTTCTCAATGTGTTGATGCATCTTCCAAAAGAGATGGGAGAGAATATTGTCGCATTGGCAGTTCCGATAATCGATATAGTTAAACTTCTCCAAGTAGCTCTGATCGGAAGGATCTTTTGTCATTTCTGGAAAAAAACTCGTAGCTCGCTTTCTAAAGCTTGGCAATTTATCTGCTCCTTTACTTTCCTCATGTTTCAGCACTATTATCAAAATATACGTTTGATCAATATACATATGACGTTTGATAAATTTCGAAATATGTGTAAGTATTCATTGAGAGTCTTTACCTTTACTCTCTTCGATATCAATGCTCGTCGGCATAATGGATATCCTACAAATATCAATCAAATCTTGTTTCCTCGTCGCAGCGCTTGTTTGCGTTGTAAGTATGCTCGTTTTCGTACTCCGTCTCCCTTCGAAAAGTGTTCGATAACGAATCAACGAAAGTCGACTGGGCATTACACGTTGTGACTCTTCCATCTGAAGATATTGAACAAATTAGCTTTTTCTCAACAGAATTGAAAATATGTGCTCTAAAAACGTAAGTAAATTATAAAATGGTAATAAAATATCAATTAAAAATTAACGAATCAATTTAAAATCACGAATTTTCAGATCTTTGAAGTGAAGTTTGACGCGAATCATTTATTCTCACAATTACATATAATTTTTATTTTATATAAAGAAGCGGTCTTAAATTTTTTTTCTATTGAAGTATTGAACAACGAAATGACAATAAGATAGTTGGAATTAAAGAGATAAAAAGGTTTTAAACATTTTTATTGCAGGGATAATGATTTATTTTTTAGAAATAATTAAATTCTTTAATTTTTTATTTATTTATCTCTTAAAAAGACTTATTTTTAGATCGCAGGCTAATTATCGTTTATAATTCTAAATGACCTTCGATTCTTTGACATCCTCGTTGAGGATTCTCAGAAAGCGGCCGCTACCGCAGGAATTGCATTTTCGAGCGTCCAAGCCGTATATTCCAGCCGCTCTCGTATGATGTTCCCGCTTTTCTTCCGCCGTTTGTACATTGTATATCATCTTTTGAAATGAATCAACTTTGAACTCTAGCAATTTACAATGAGCATAAAGAGGCGAGGGGCCAGCGATAGCTCCTAGAAAGTCACAGTATTATTTGTTATATAAACAGATCACAAAACTGATGAAAAATGAGTTTATGGAAAAATACAATTTTAATGTGATTTTTTGTTGCTTATTGTTCGCTGATTTTTAATTTTTTCTTACTGAAAATTTCATACAAAAAAAGCGCGTCATTATTCTTTTAGCTAATATTAAATATTATTATTAATATTGTTAATTATAATTATTAATATTAAATGTTACATATTTTTAATATATTCTCAAAAATTTTAATGTATACATATAAGTTTTTTTTTTTTAATTGAACTAACTTGAGTGATAGCAATCGCAAGATAACGAGTGGTGCATATCGGAGAATGTTTGCCGCTTTTTATCTATGCAGAAGATAAGATCCTCAACGTGGAAATCTCGTCGTTGCAGCGAAGCGCACTCTAATATCCGCATTCGGATCATCTCGGAAACGGCTGTGGAGTTACGTGAGGTTCATCTAAGCTAGCGTGCGCAATTCGGCTATAATAAGATACGTCCGCGAGAGCTGCAATTAATGGTACTCACTTTTAGCGGTGTGCAGTGAGATCGAATTCAACATTACGTTCTCTACCATGCCTCGCTTAAACACTCTGCCCAGCGTAGCGGCGCACTTAATGAAATTTTGCTCGTAAGGATTCATTTTATGGTAGATCTCGCTCATCAATTCTAGAGAGAATTTCTAATAAACAAATTAAACGTAAAATTCGATCGATACAGTAATGTCATGTAATTGCAAAGACGCTCCGTATATTTTAAAATATCACGCGCCCTGATATTATTTCGCATTGCACTCGACATTGGATACATTGTGATCATTCGTGTCGTGCACGATTGAGTGAAATAAGAAAGACTTATAATGCCGGAAATGATTATTTCGAGAAATAATACGAAAGGATTAAGGAAATATTAGATTTGCCTGTCATATCGCGATTTTTGTCAGTAATCTTGAAGTGATTCTCGTTCATGATGCAGACGTCCAAGAGATTCATTTTCGACCAGGGTAAAGGCGGCGCCATTTCTTCCGGTGTCATATTGACAGGTAGCTTTGTCACGAGTATGCCATTTGGAAAAACGAGTTCGCGTTGCGCCGCTTCGTTGGGCGATATCTTGACAAAAGCTAGCCCGTCGCTCTGAAGAATCGACGTGAGGAACACCTCGCACCATCCGATGTGGCCGTCCTTGTGCTTCTGCAAAATCCTGAGAGGAATCCTGTCGTTGTTTAACAAACTTACGGTACTCCGTTAGCCGCATTAAACAACAAAAGCGATTACCTGCTTAATTTTTTGGGTATCGCTAGGACGTTTAGAAATTGACATGCAAATATCGGGAGGAGATCTACATTCAGACCGAACAATGTACGAATCGTTAGCCTTTTATCCTTATAAATCTCCGCTTCTACGTGGGACAGATCGTCCCACGAGCTCGGCTTCGATATCGTCATCGCCGCGATGATGTTACAGTTATTAAGTACCGACGACAAAAATTGCCACGATTTATGGTCCATGTATTGAACATCATCAAGCAAAATGCAGATTTTGGTTTTCAGCTGTGAGTAACGAATGATCATATTGATTTACATAAAAGCGATTTTATGTAGATTTTAGAAACGGTGCTGTGAATTCTTTATTTACAAGGTAAAATAACAATTGCCTGTTTTAATATCCTTTCGAACATATCGACAGTCTTCGTGTGACGTCGCCAATCGGTGTCCGAACAATAAATGTCGGAAAGAGGGAAATTAACTCTCATTAAAACATTCAGATAGCACAAATTGTCCAAAGTAAGAACGTTGCCTAATTTATTAAATAACTCCTTTTCACGCTCCTCGACCGTCTCGCAATTCTCAGCTTCAAGCATCTATAAAAAATTTTAATTATCTGAATCAATTTATTTCTACTGCAAAAATTAGATTTAATAAAGGATATTGAGAGATATTTATCTTCTAAAACGAAGTTTCCCCTTTTCAAAATCAAGGATTAGTTTAAAAATATTTAATTTCCTTTTTATTATATATGTATATATATATATATATATATATATATATATATATATATTACACTATTTGTATTTATCAAAAAAGTTAAGATAAAAATTAAAATACTTTTATAAAAATATTTCTTTAAACAATTCTAAGAAAAATCTACAGAATAAAACAAATCAAATATTTTACCTGTAGAATAATGTGATATATAACTGAATAAGCCTTCTCCTCATATGTCGCGTGAAGAGAAAGTTTTATTGGTCTTATTTGTCTGTTGCAAACGCTCGTGACGAAAGCATCTAAAAGTCTAGATTTTCCTGACCTCTCGATTCCCTAGACAAATAACAGATTGATTTTAAAACATTATAAGACAAAGAAGAACCATGCTGAATTTACTTGATTTTTTATTTTTTATTTTTATTGTTACATAAAGTAATATAATAATTAAAATTTCAATCGCTAGCTCGTGTTTAAATAACAAGTAAGAAATTTTGACTCGGCCAAGGAATGAGCAAGATGTGATGTGACATGAAATCACTAAGACATGATATTATAAAAATTTTAACGAAAACTTAATGTCAAAACGTTTCGACTGCACAGAATTTTTTTCAATTTGAAATAAATTAACATATAAATTGCAGTCGAAACGTTTTGACATTAAATTTTTGTTAAAATTTTTATAATATCATGTCTTAGTAATTTCATATCACCTCACACTTTGCTCGCTCCTTGGCCGAATCAAAATTTATTACTAGTATAATAATATTTGTTAATAATTTTTATTCTAAAACATTGTTATGAAAACTTTAAATCAAACCTCGATCAACAACCCTGAATATCTTCGATTTACTACTCCAATCTCATCTAGAATATCGTCGAAGCAATTCAACTCGTCCAGTCTACCCAAAATAGGATAACAATAATCCAGAGATGAAGTTACATCTTCTTTTATCCTATTGGGATATTGTAGGAGATATACATATTTTATTATCTACAAATAATTTTTATTTTATCTTTTAAATATGTATAATTTATTTATTTTATTTTTATTTATCCTTTTATAAATATATAAGAATTGATATCAATTGATACTTCAAATTAAAGTAAATAGAAATAATAAAAACAATATTTTGAATATATAATGTGCTATATTTTTAATTATTTAATTGCAAAATGCTCTTTCTGAGATTTCTAATAAATAAAATAGAAATGCATTGCTGCTGTGACACACAATTGGAATTTTTAATTTTTATGATCCACATAATAAAATAAGTTATAGATTGACATGCAGTGAAAATCTTTAATTAATTATTTAGGCAAAACTTTATTTGCTTTTGTCACAAATGTTTTCATATCAAACATTATTTCAAGACGTATAAAATTAAATTCTTCTATTTACTCCGTTATTATTCACATTTAAGCGAGAGAGCAAATTCAAATGCTTACGGCTCATCGCCGAAATATTCATAGATGTGATACTTCTCCAGTCGGTGCAACGTTCTCACGCCTCGAGAGCGAAATTTGTCCTTTTCGAAATGACTATGCAATACGGTGTCGTAGTCACAGGAAATCTGCGAATGTACCGCACATACATAATTTAAGCCCAAAAAAGACATTTGTATATTTACATTAATTAATATAATTACATTTTTACATATTTTCGATAATATTATCAAAGTAGAAAACCACAAGGGTGAATTCAAACAGCAAATTAACAATATTTTACAAAGCAAATATTCTCTAGGTATTTTAAACTCTCCTGCTGAGAAGACATTCAGACAATTAGAGAAGGTTTTGACATTGTCGAATAAATGGCATGGCATGGCTGCCTCGAATATATCAAATGGCGGCGCCCTTAACTCTGTTTACACCATAGAGCAAGTGATTATCAGATTTTTGTGGTCGGAGGATGTGAAACCCACCTCATGAAATTTATAAAAGAATAAAATCAAACTTAAAATTGCCAATATGAGCCGTTGCGATTGTAAGTCCGAATAATCTAAATGCGGTTTTAAGTTTGAGTTTTAGAATCGAAACCGATCTCGGATACTTAGAAGCCTAATCTATAATTTGAATAATATATCTCGAACATATTTAAGTTGCTGTTACCTTTTGAAACACTCTCATTAATAATTTTTTTTTGAAGGAAAAAACTAAACTTTAAACAAAATCTAACTGACCGTCAAGCTGTATAATTACTTTATCACAGGAAATATTCATTATTTTTATAGCTTTATCGACAGGTGGTCCAATGATCGCGTAATATCTTCTAGCGATATGCCCGATTACGCCACAATAAGCCATTCCTGAAATCAAATTGACAGTACAAATACGGCATATATATATTAGTATCGCAATGTTAAAATTATACGATAAATTTATATCAATCGAATCATAATCTGACATAACGTGACGTGTTGAAACTGCTAACATTAATAATATAATGATTTTCTATCCAAGCAGAATAACAGGTCAATAATAACATCAAAATGAATGATGTTAAAATCATAATTGACCAAAAAGTAACTTTTATTAAGCATTTTGGAGTTATTTTAACACCATTTTTAACTCCTTTTGTTGCTTAATAGTCCCGATTTTTTCCCAGAAAAGATCTTTTTGAAGAACATAAATGGGATGGGCCGGTATATCTTCACACAAAAAAAACACTTAGTTCTCACCTGTTGACATGCCGACACAAATGCTTTGAATTCCGGCGATGGCCTTCGCTGTTTGCAATATATGCATCGCACAAGTTATTCCATTTTTACAAGTCTCGTCGATTTTAAATTGATCCTCGTTGCTGTCCCCACATATTGCAATACCAAATGCAATACAAAAGAAAATATTCCTCTCGAACAAGTTCATCATGTTAATATAACCCCCGTATTGCGTAACTGCACTAAATAAAAATTAAAATGACTTTTTTATATTATTTTGCCGATTAACGTAACAATGTGATTGTTGAAAGAACTAGTAGTATATTAATTGTATACAGGTAAAATTAATAAAGCAAGACTCAGTAAAATTAGAACTTAAAAACAATTTTATTATATAGTTATTTGTAAAAAATAATAATTCTCCCACAGTTATATCTGTTAGTACTAATAGGCATTGACGGTACCTATGCACAAGCAGAAAGCATTCGTCGATCAAAAGAATTAATTTGTTGTCTGGACATTTGTCGGGTATGATATCGATGGATATTATTGTAATTCGACTGATCTCCGCCAACAGTCTTAATGATCCTCCCCTTTCGATCTACGAGAAGCAAAGCATACTTAACAAATAATTCCGAGAAAGGCTTCTCATAGATTTTTCTTATTCTGCCATAGTCATGATAATTTACAATAAACGATACCTGTTCGATCACCGGCTTTAACAAATAGCTTCTTAAATGTTCGCTGAAATTCGGATTTATCGCTGCTATCGCAGTAATCGCTGGTGAAAACATTTAGTGTGAAGCAAGTGGCATTTTATATGGTTCCAAACAATGTTAAATTAACCGACTAGGGCTTATGTCTTATACAAGATATACTTAAGAATAAAAAAAAAAAGAAAAAATTTACAATAAACACAATAAAAATATACGATTTGTACACTACTTTCTGATAATGAAAATGGCGAACTCAGTATTAATTTGAAATCTAATAGAGCGTATTAAAAATTTTATCATAACAAAAAACGAAAATACGAACAGGATAAAAATGATAAGGAAAAAATAGAAAGAATATAAAACAGGTCATAAATTTAACTATGGAACAAATATTATTTTTATTTTACCTGTGGAAATTTTCTCTTCTTTATTACCAATTTCTGTTTCGGAATATAATTCAGAAATCAAATGTGTTCTATAAGGTGACGATGGTTTTACGGCATCTATCAGAAATTTCCCGTTCGGAGATGTGTCTGGATTAACATTATCACTTGGCGATGTCGGTGTTATATACGTCGGTGTTGATTTTGCATCTGGCTGTTTTAATATTTTTAATATCTGTAGAAAGTAAAAAAGCGCACATTTCTGCATAAATTAAAAAATTCTCCAAATTAAAATATCATTAAAGAGGAGGCTTTGAAAAAGCCGCTGTTTAGAAGAGATTTAACTAATTAAAAATACAGTTGTTTTTCAAAATTAGTAATAAATAAATAAAATTTTGAACAAATTTGAAACAAATAATCGGTGACGAATTAATGTCGTGAAAAATAAAAGTGTATCCTTCCCTTTAACACAAAAAAGAAAAATTGTACAAAAATATAACGTGTCGCTTTAGCAAATAAATTAAATTTACATTTGAATTAATTAATTTGCATTTAAACGCAAATTAATTATAAGAGATTATTTTCATAACGAGTAGAAAGAAGTGAGACAACGCTTGTTTTCAGTCTCTACATATAAAATGTCACAGAGAGAATTGTTACTTTCAAATTATAACTGGAGAATGTCATCATACCTTTACGTTATTCGAATCCTTGATGACGTATTCGTATTGACTCGGCGTACAATGCTGCCATGCGCTCAGCGATACTACCAAGTCACTCGGCAGAGAAACCTTTTTCGCATTTTTTAGCTCTTCAATCGGCAGACCGACGATCACGAAATGCCGTGCTTCATCGCTGCCAATTATCGAGAACATTACATTCCCAGCCGAGATGGCCACGTTTACTATCAATAAAAATTTTCGATTATCGCCAACGAAGAAACACGTTAACAAATCCTCCTCGTGCACGAAATTAAACTAATTAAAAATTTAACGTGTACTCTTGTGTGGCTTATTAAATTTGTATAATATTACAATTTTTAACTAATTTTTAATTTAAAGTTATAACTCTTGAATACTTCGAACATGTGTCATTAAGTATAGCAAATACCTTTACAAATATTGTCGTCGTCTTTTAAGGCTGCTATGGTATCTTGTATACTTATCGCGCGTGCGATCACATTTTGCACAGTGTCGAACATTAATTCGCCCTCGTGTACTTTCCACGCTGCTAATAATCCTTCAGCTAATATATTTAACATATTATCATATTTAAAATAAAATATATGATTAAAATAATTTTATATCATTAAAATAATCACAAGTGAACGAGTATAATCACCAATTACAAATATATAAAATAAATTTCTACATCGTTCACAATCTTCAATCCGTTTCTTCGCGATTGTTTTAGATTATATTAAAATATAATTACAATAGCAAATTGCATTGAACGATTACTTCTCTCGTCAATACAATATTCTTTATTATCTTAAAAAAAATTAATGTGTGATATAATACTCTTATTTGGCGAGAAAGATTTATTATCAGAAAATATTCCGGACTTGTTTGTTAATACATTTTATTTTAAATGATACCTATTTTCTTACCAGAAAACTTTAGTATATCTCCTTCGCTGCTGTATATTTCGCGAACTGCTATGTAGATATATTCATTTAACGTTTTAGTGAAAGCCAAACTTCCTCTGTCTTTTTCGTGAATAAATTTCTTAAACAACATCGAAAAACCTGTCGTTATGTTAATAACAATGTTACATTAATTAAAAAAATAAATGTGTTCGTTTACTTCATAAAAGGAGTTACAACTTGTGCGCAAAGCAACGATGCTAACCCGAAATGTTTAGAAACATTAAAACAGCTTGGAAGCTTCGTAAGCTCTTCTCTGACAAGTCTGTTGCGTATATTATCTCGTCGGGAACGAAAGTCGCCATACGATGAATCTGCTCTTCCATACTGAACAAATCCAATGTCTAAAAAATTAACTTAGGATTGAAATACGTAAAGTAACATGAAATTAAAGAATTGAAAACAAAATTATATATTAATAAAAAAGAAATAAAAAGACACCGTGTAGAAATCTAACCTGTTTTACTGACAGACTATGCTTTCTAAAAATGGGACCAAACAAATCCGGCGTCCAAGCCGTGACAGGCTTGATATTTTTTTCATCTTTGGATAGCCTCTGATCATGTGCCATTGCTTCATTAGAATCAATTTTGCTCTCGATCAATTTCCATAATTTTAATTTATTTACTTTTTTCTTTGCGACACAGATATTATACCGCTGCGCATTTCACAGTTTTTGTTTAGACGGGGACACAAATACATGAAGTTTTATCAATATCGGGGCATATTCAGATCGCGCTCTCCGTCTCTAGATTATTCGAATATCATATCATCTCGAGACCGTATTCATATTAATTAATAAAATTGTCAAACTTTACGTGCTTATTTAAACGTCCACATTCCGGGGCTCGTAAACGTTATAATTAATTAATAATAAGTTTGTTAAATTTCTCGCGCCTATATTTAAACGATCACGTTCCGGATAAATACTTAGATATATTTGATATTTATTTTATAATGTTAAATATTTCGTATCAACGACTGACGTACAGCAGATATCTAAGCCTATTCCGCTTATTTTACGAAGCGAGCTGGAGCCCTTTAAAAAATCTGGCCGTATTCCGCTTTAGTAAATATCCTATATTAAGTTCCTTATTAAGTCCTATATTAAGTACCCTATATTAAGTCTGCGTAAGATGTTTGATAAATCGTATAAGTAGAAAAGAGATAATTGTTTGAAAAAAATGAGGGACATATAAAATATAATTGCTTGCATGTTTTATATATATATTTTTTCCGAAAAATAATTTCTTTACATATTTATGTTTTATATTAAATATGTATATAAAATTAATAAAATAATTTAGTTTTACAATATATTAAAATTTATTTATATATATATTTTTCTCTGTATTGACGTTTGAATAATCTTTCATCTACATTGACATCTAATAATAACACTAGACGCGCCGCATAATACCGTTTATTATAAAACAGGTACATGTTTGATAGAATCGTCAGTTATCAGCGATCTTCTGAAATGATAAGATCGTGATGTTACGGACATACGAAAGTAAACAAAGTTACCATTTAATTGTGATAAGTTGCCTTTGTAACTAATTATTACAAAGAATCGTATCTTAATCGCCAATTTTAATATAAAGGTAAGTTGTGAAAAACAGAACTTTTACACATTTCGTTTCAAAATCATAGATTTCTATAGAATATCTAGATCGCTGTAAACATGTTACAGTTCGTTACCAGTTGAGTTAAAGCCGGGATGTCATATTTGCTCGGTGATCATATACGGTACGTCATGAAGTAGTGTTAGTGTGCATTTAATGTAAGTTAAACTTTTGATGTTTTGGAATGTAACCTATCATTGAGTAAAGATGGTTGCTTGTGTCATAGAACCCTACAAGGCGGGTTGAAGGCTATACTTTCCATCAGGGAAGTGAACTCCAAAAAAAAAGATGATTGCTATATCCCATCTTCTGAATTACTTGGCTTTACTTCAATTCTCGGAATTAACGATCTAGGGTGTTCTATAGAAATCTGTGTTTAAAATACGCCACGTACTTTAAAGTACATGTACAAATTTGAATCAAATTTTTGAAGGACAAATGTAACCAACACATGACTTTAATATTAAAATAAAGGCCATTTTTTCAGAGCTGTCAAAGTAATCTATAATTTTCTTTTTAACGAAACCACATCAATCGCTATTACTTCTTTTACATTTTATTCGTCGTCTTTGTACTACGATAATTGTATCATTTAAAGTAGCATTTAATATTATATAAACAAATGTAAAATTTATATAATCTATAAAATATAAATGTATGATGTAAAAGAGTTGATCGCGAGCATTTTGTACTTCAAACTCAGGAGAGATTTTAGAAAATATTCTATCTCAAATGAAATCTAATCTGTGTACGTAATTTCTATACAATTAAATAGACGCACGCTTTTTCTATATCTATTCAAAATTACTTTTACGTTTTTCTAAGGCATCGACATCAACGCAACATCGACTTTTTAATAGAATATACCGATATGAAATACAGATCGTGCGTTTAAATATGGCATGACGTGAACGCGTTTCGAAGAAACCTTTGTAATGTCCATCTCAAGATGATTTTCCTGTTTCTCGTCGAGGACGTTGATGCACTAGATGAATGGACGTTGTTGCACACAAAACTCGCCAAGGGTTGTTAAAGAGGTGTCACACAGCATTTTGAATCTAAACAGGAAAAATTTGTTTGAAAACTTCAATATGAATACTTCATATTTTAATTTAATATGTTTTTATTAAAAAACAAAATCGGTTTTAGCATTTTATCTCAGATAATTAACAGAAATGCACTCTATTACAGTTTTACAGTAAAATTAGTTTTAATTATCGGCAACAATTATCACGTCTTTGATGTGTGCAAATAGATATTGTATTTTATTTATTAAAATTTATAAAATAACGTATATATTTGTATTGCATTATTGACACTATAGGTAGACAAAAAATATATATACAATATTCTCTCGTTTTTCTCAACAACAAAATAATTTTTATATATAAGAAATAACTGTTATTTTATATAACTTTATGTATTTTAATGCTAAAAATATGTATAGATATCATTTCTGTGTTTATTATCTATGTCTTTTTTCTTTATTTTTTTGTGATTATAATAATTTATATAGTAAATTATATGTAAGACTTATTTTATGGCATTAAACTGAAGTTATCAAAATGCATATCACACGGATTAGCAACAAGTTCGTGTATTATTATGTATATTCAGCTTTTATAAATATATTATACATATATAGATATGTAATATATTATAAATATATTGTAATATATTATAAAAATATTATACATATAATATATTTATATGTGGCATTATATTATATGTGTATATATATGTATGTGCGTATATAATAATCTTTCTAAACATATGAAAATATCCACGAGAATATTAACTCAAATTTCAGGAAAACGTTCACGTTTTGATATATATTAAATTTCTTTTTTTATTGACAAATTTTAACAAAACTGAAATATATAATAGACATATAATAAAAAAAATGTTTTAAATTACAAAATAATATAATTCGTAAATAATTATTTTTGCCGTATAAATAGAAATCATATTTTATCTACTGAGATCCTAAAAAATCTCGTAGCTATCGAACAAGAATAAGTTGAAATAGAGAATTCGAGATATACAATAAATGTGTTATAATAACATAATATAATCTTTTATACATATACACCAAAGATTATATAATATATAAATAATTTTGATGTCAAATCTCCAGATTGCAACTTTTAACAGGTTCTAATGCTTCATTCGTAAAAAAGTATAAAAGTACATGACATTTGCGGATCTTTGATCATGTCGAATAAAATTCTTTGAACTTAAAGGTTTGGACACGATCGTGAAAACTGTTACGTACACAGTCCGATCTAATTCTCAAATGCAACACAGTAACAAACAGTTTATTTATCGCGTGAATGTTAATTAAATGTGCCACGTTTGATTCGATTTCTGGAACCAGATCCATTTACCGTTAAGAATAAGAAAAATATTCGATTTTTAAAGTGACATTATTTTTAATATTATTAACACTTGGGTGTTAAAATATATGTATAAAAGAATAAAAATGTATGAGAATGTATTTGCTTGCGTTACAATTTCATCAATGGGCTTTTATCATTGTATATTTATCTTCATATCCGACGTCAAACGTGAAAATCGAATATCGAATTCGCGTAAAATGCCAATGTTACACATTACCACGTGACGTATACGGCTGTTATTTAGTCGTTATAATCTAATCTAATATCTCTTACTTTCGCAAACCAATTATTTCATCAAGAAACTTAGGCTCGCGTTGACACACGATTTAAAGCAGTTATATATTGACATGCTCCGTTGCGTATAAACATTTCCGAGCGTTCGACAAGGAATATTTGTTCATATATCTCGGCTAAGCTCTTATTGTGTCGCGAGCTTTTTAAATAAAATATGACGCGATGTACTAAACGCATTATAATTCTGATAAAGGATAGGACCTGATTGCTCTTTGGGTTTATTCGATCTGAACAATTTACAGTTATGGTCCGTTAGCTGTCAGTACAAAATGAAATAACAAGATATTATATGTATATTTGATTATAATTCATATACTCCAATATATTTGTATATATTTATTAAGCTTAATTCTTTAAATTTATTGCTTTTTGCACAATAAATTTTATAAAGAAACATTGTATAATCTCTCGATAATATGCAATTATTGTAATAATATTTCTATACTACAACAATCCGAACAATCCAAAACGCAAAAGTAATAACACTTTGGTTAGTTTATACAAGAAAAAATATAAGAGGTAGTAGCTATGTGTTGAATAACTTTGTACTTAAATCATAATTCATTTCTCAGACGTGAGATTTACATGCGGAGAAAGGAAATTCGCATAATATCGATAAGTTCAACAAACGAGTAAAAATGATTGCTTAAACACAAATTGCGTCGATGGGTACAAAAATACATATATCTTATCTCGAATCGTTGAACCATCAAAAGAGATATAAAAATACAATACTTAGAAATCCAAAACATTTCTTCTGTTCTTCTATTCAGAAAAGTTGAAATATTTTTAAATAATTTACATATTCGCTTTTGTCTTGACAATCGATATTATTGCGGAAAAATAGAAAGAGGTGCACAATCAAGCGATAAAGTAATAGCATAGAAAGACAGAAATACAAAAAGTAATATAAACAATGTATGTATGAGACCAGGGGGAATAAAATCGATTCTGTCTAATAATACGCTATTTTTATGACTACACTTTCTTTTATTACCTGAACGTATACAATTACGCATGTTGCGTAAGATACGAGAAGAAATTTCGCAAAAGTTTGCAGAACAGAGCGTTAAGAAAAATTATGTGAAGAGGAGGCTCAGAGAGGGCCAATAGCTCCATTATTGAAACAATTAAATATTAATGAAAACTGATAGACTAATTTTAATATGAATATATATAACAATGTTAAATATTTTGGAAATTGTATCAATACAAATTTTTGTACGAAATTTCTACGTTTTATTAGAAAAATATTATTGAAAGGAAGGGAAACCAGTCCCTTTATATCTTCTTCCTTTGTCATTGCCAGGCTTGAAACCAAACTCATTATTTCTATAAATATTTTATATTTCTGTAAATATAGTCTTTATTCATTGTCACAAAAATATCAATTAATTAAATTTCCAGAAATTATTTTAGTTTCAATACCTGTCCGTCACAATTGCCGGCCACAATTAGACGCCACAATTAGAGGACAATATTACATTTATAAAATGTTTTAAATAGGAACTGATTTACTAACATGATTCCTATATGTCTCTAATTGATAATAAATTCTTTACAGTCCAATCTGACTAGATTTTCCTCCTCTTTCCGCGCAATCTAAACAACATCTCCTTCAAGAATTTATCACTAATGCCTCGTTCGAATGAGATGTAGAAAAAACGAAACGTTATTTGCGGATCTCTCATTGCACAGTGCACACGTGAAAGGATTTCTGGCATCGTGAAATCCCATGTGCATTGCATACATGATTACATCCGCAAATATAATATGACAATGGTAACAAACAAATGATGACATATTATGTGTATTTGCATTATCTGTCATATTAGATGTTTCGTTTATCCCCCGCGGCTCAGTTTGACTTGCCGTTAGAAGCGCTAGAAGAGAAGATGTTGCATGGACTTGTCGTGTCGCGCTGTTCTCCGTGTTCTCATTTGTCGTGGGATATTCTAGCCTCGTCGCTTTACGCTTACGTTTGCGTCTTGATGAGGAGCTCGGAATCGATATCTGAAACTGCGGTCTTCTCGCCATCGCGGACATACTAAGATCCAGTGGCTCATCCAGATTGCCTGTCGGCGCATGTAGATTTTCCATCGGTACGTTTAGAGCCTCCGTCGACTCATCTAGATTCTCCGCCGGCCTGTCTTCTTCTGCCGCCACTCGAGGTGCCGAGACCAACGTCGTGGATGTCGAGGGTTGGTCAGTACTGTTCGCGTTATCAGAAAGATCTCCATTGGCAGTCGTGCCGGCCGCGTGTTCGACATGTTCTGGGTCATCAAAAATTCTCTGGGCATTTTCTGGGTCACCTAAAATTCTCTGGGCATTTTCCAGCAAATAGGACCTCTGCCGCACATCTACGTCCGGACGTGACGCGATAGTTCTGAACAAAAAGTGACACAACATGATAAACGCGCTGCTATTTAATAGCGACGACTGCTCGTTGCTGCTCGGATTCACTCCGTTCTCACTGTTCGTTCTATTACACGTAGCCAGAATGGCTGTGACTAGAGAATTGGAATGAGACGGTGGGACCGGAGCCGGCAGCTGGGCTGGCGATCTTTGAGTTGGCGATATCCGGACTGGCGACCTCTGAATTGGCGATATCCGGACTGGCGATCTCTGAATTGGCAACGATGGCACGATCAACTCCGCATTCGAATCCGACGAATCTAGGATCGCGGCCGACGGAATCGGGAGCGGTAACACCGGAGTCGAGGTGGTCGGCATCGGTAAAACCGGGGACGTTAACCCTGAGGTCGACGGCATGCATGAGTCTCTGATGATTTCCGTCGGCTCCTTCCTCTCCTCGACGAGCGGCTTTCGTCTGGGCCCGCGTTTGTTACCGTAAACGTCGATGGTGGCGAACGGATTCGGCGTACCGTCCGCGTCCAGCACCGGGCCTGGTATGTGCAGACTGTCCTTCAGATGCTTCTTCATCGCGTTACAGAATTTGGTCCTGTACGGGCAGCTGGCGCAATTGAACTGATAGACCTCCGAATGCGTTTTCTTGTGACTAGTTAGCATTGATTTACTCACGCACGTGTACGAACATTCGGTGCACGTGTAACCCTTGAAATCGTCGTGAGCACTGAACCAATGGAATGTCATGTGATGTTTGAGCATGGTGGCGAAGGGGCATAAGATGCACACGAAGCCGGTGCAGTCTCCTTGCAAGAAATGCTGACGCAAATGCATCCAAAGCGCCAACTTCGTCTTCGCCAAATACTTACATTTGCAACACTGTTTCGGTTTGGAAACTTTATTTCTCTTTTTCCCCTTGCTCTGTGAATCATTATTAACTTCCTCGGTCTCTTCGTCATCAAAATATCCGTTTAAAAAGGTGTCGCTTTCAAAGGCATACGTTTCTTTTGCAAATGTACAATGACTGATCACGTGATCGACGTACTCCGTTCTGAAAATATACAGTTTAAATAATTATTATTATTTTGTTGGAACCGACAGGGAATTGCATTTAATATAGTAGTGCAATTGGACGTTATTATATTTAATTCTATGCAATTATAATTCTAACCTGAACGACTTTAACAAAATTTTTTAATTTATTAAAATAGATTTAATGCACGTGAGTACGGCAAGACAAGAATACTGAATTTTATATTTTATATTTACACAAACAACATAAAACATTTTGTAAAGGTTTATTTATTCTTTGCAATTTTCTCTTTCTCCAACTGATCAACCTCGACTTCCGAGCTCATAATTAAAATTAATATATTATACCTGTCCATCGCAACGTAGAAACATACTCTACATTTCCGTAACGGTGCAGCTTCACTGAACGACTGAATATTCTCTGTTAAACTTAATGTAGATGATGGACTACTATTCCTTGAGGATGATAAATTACACATTGCAAGTCTGGCATCGGATGTGTTTGCCAACAAATTGGCAAATGAGAAACCAATATTGTTGTTAGTTTCTTCCATTGGCTGTTCGCTCTACAGAAAATATAAAGACAATTCTTGAGAAATCTCCTTTATAAAAAAAAAAAAATTATATGTGATGAAGATTGAGATCGAAAAATTTGGCGCTAAATAATTTTATTGACGAATTGTAAAAGATGAGTGAGAAATCTAAGAATTCATTGTTTCTCGGATAAACTCGTTAAGTTTATTTTGTTTTAAATAACACAATAATTAATATATATCTAATACATTTAAAATAACAATATATATATATATATATTAATATACTAGGTATAAAATGACATTATAAATTTACATATTATTTTAATACATTCATATTTTCAGAAAACTTTTAAAACATTAAAGGATATAATTTGCCAATCAATCTTTAAAATTTATATCCTTGTATCCATTTAAATAATGCAGACATATGCTCAGCGAGATAAAAAAATAAGCAACATAGCAAGTGCGAGCACGAAAAAAATATTTCACGCTTGAGCTTTGAAGATTCAATATCAATACGACTTCCATCGTATTTCCACGCCGACATTTTGTGGAATACAAAGGGGGAAGGGTCCAGAGAGAATGAATAAAGTACGCGATGCGTATTGCGGAGAGTAAGAAAGAAAGAGGGAGATGAAGCTCAATCGGAGAGGGGTTCCGCGATTACTCACCACGTTTCTATCACCCCAAACGGGCGTGGTTGGCGGAATGAAGGGACATTGCTGCTCCTCGGTAGCGATCTGTTGTTGATGCTGCTGCTGCTGCTGTTGATTTTTCGGCACCTCCCTCAGGAACTCTGCATTTTCTTGGCATTTTTTCATTTTGGCGATCTTTGAAGTTGAAAAAAAAAAGATTAAAAGAGATAAGCAGAGATAAGATTATGAAGTCGAAGAATTATAGGATTAAAAGTGACGGAGATTGTAACAAATGAAACACAGAGAAAAAGCGTGAAAAGATGGGAAAACGCGTCGTAGGAGGGGAAGTTATTTGCGCTCTCGCTGCAAGTGTTTTTCGTTTTTTCTATCGAATAGTTTTTGAATAAAAGTTACCCATTCATGCGTTTATTAGATTATGTGGAAAAAACCCAAGGTTTTTTTAGATTTTTAAGTTGATTCAAAATACGTAAGCATAGCTTATTATACATCATACATAATACAAAACTTATAATGGCCATAACGGGATAATGTTTTACGCTTGTCCCGGTTTATGACTTTAGAAGAAAATAACTCACATAGACCAACCACATACAAGCAATAATAATTCTTATAATAACAATGTTATAATTCGAAAAGGCGAATTATCTGTTTTGACCCGTTAATGACAAACAAAAAGCGGTATCAGACAAAATGAAAAAGCTTAGCTGCGATTAACAGGTAAAAAAGAATAAAAGAATCTCTACCTGCTAGAGATCTCATACTTCAGATGTCAATTTTAATTAAGTGACAGTGATTGTTGTTAACATTTTTGCAACTTACCCAAATACATTTTTATAAAGAACTTTTAAAATTAACAAAGTTTTTTTTAAGACGATATTAAAAATTTATTAAAATATTCGCAACGTGCGGATATATTGATATGCGGAGCAAAAGAGGTTTAATTTTAGTCTCAAAGAACGGAATCAAATGTGATTTTCAAATAAAATAGAAACGAAAGGCTAATGAAAGTTTTCGGCGCGGTAAGGCGTATAAAGTCTTAAAACTTGCATTAGACTTTCGTTTTTATTTTATTTGACAATTTCAAGAGTTCGTTAAAATGTGATTATGTTTAAAAATAATTATTTATAGAATTGTTATTTTACAACGTTATAACTTGTAAATAATTAAATTTATAATTAAAAAAAGATTTTGAAACCATGAAAATATAAAAATACTACTATAAAAAACATCAACATAATATTAATTTTGCAAACAAAAGTATTTAAAATAATAAAAGAAATAACTATCCATTATATTCGAATTTTTCACATTGTATTTATCTCATTCAAACTTATCTTTCTTCAATTTTGAAAATATAAATTTAAACGTAAATTATAGTTAAAATAAAAATTGTTGGTAGTTTTTTTAGAACAGTTATAGAAAAATAGCAGCTAGCGACAAAAAATCTTTTTTGCCGCAAAATTTCATTAATCTTAACTTTTTGCAAATTATTTTCGCTTTCACTTTTACGGAAATTTTGTATTTAAATGAAATAAAAAAGAAGATTTATGTGACCTTACTCGAGAACAAGGGGTTTGCATTGCATTGATTGAATTCGCTTATTTAACTAGAGCGGAAAATGTGGGGTTCTTTTTAGAAAGACGTCCTACTGGTTTCGCCGAATCTTTAGACAAGGGCCAAACTTACTCGCAACGGTCGTAAATAAAAATTGACATCTCTTTAAAAATGCTCTACTTTCTAGACATGCGAAAAAAAATAACGTTCAAAGCAGATAAGCGTTTTTTCTTTGAGAAAGTGTGAAAACTGTTGCGATTCTTAAGAATCATGTAACACAATGGAACATAAAAATAATTTTTATCGATATATGAAAAGAAGAATTATTATACTTTTTGTAGTCTTTTTTTTATTAAAACAAAATTCTTCGATTTTTCTAGGACCATGGAATAAGAATGTGAGCACATGCAAAAACAGAAATAAGATTAATTTTTTGTGATGATGAGAAAATAACGAAATTTAGCCGAGATGTTGGTTGCCTAATAATATTCTTAATTTTTTAATCACTGAGGTTGTGATAATTTTTATTGCAATAACCAATATTTATAAGAAGAAACACATTGAAAGGCTAACTTGTAAACGCCATTATCACAGGCTCAGTGATCAAATAGATATAAAGACACTAGTTCCGAATGTGATCGGCGCGGGAGATTTCAGGTTCGAATTTGGCTAAGGTAATATTTTTCGCAATAAGCTCAATATTTTAGAATGCTTGGCATCAAATAAAGATCAATTCAATATGTAATATTACTGCAGTTTGAAGTTATAATTGCATTTTTAAAGATCGATATAGTAATTGACGCGCAATTTACTGACATCTAAAGATTAAAAATTAAGAACATTATTGGACAACCAACATCTAGCTGCGATTGAATTTGGCTCTTTCTCTCTCATTATTTGTTGTATACATATATGTATGTCGATTTTGTTTGAAATTATTATTAATTTTTTATATTAATTTGCAGAGCCATTACTTTTTAATGTTTCCCACAATTATTGCTTAATTATTTTAAAAATTACATAATAAGATTTTCAACAATTTTCACAATAATGAGACCACCAGTTGTTTAAAAGCATACATTCTAATTCTGTGAATAATAAAAAAATATTTTGTTTATTTCATAAATATCATTATTTATTAAAAAATATATTTTCTGATCATATTGAATACAAAAAGAAATGACATTCTCCTTCTTAAGCCTTGTGTTCACGATGCTAGATCTCGGCCGGAAAAAGAATTAATTAGTAAATCACATTTGAAAAATTCGAACAAAAGACTAATGCGATTAATCAAATCTGTTTCTCCGAGATCTCGGAATAATTTCTAGCATTTCGGACAAATGATTTCAGAGAGTAAGTACAAGCGCTTCGAATTTAAGGCCGCAGATGCCGAATACTTTTCTTGATACATTTAATAATCTCTCGATAACCATTTTCCTGCTTTGAAATTCCGAACAAATAGCATTAATCTCTAAAGGTCAAAACGACGTTGGTATTTCGAAATTCCGAGCGAGACATACTTCAAGATCATAATAATAAATAGAAAACGGCGAAGCAACGATATATACTTGAAATTTCAATTGGCAAACATTACGGGATAGAGTAGAGACATCGTAGCAGAGCGTGGAGAAAGAAGAATTGTTGAGAAGTCAAATATCAATGTAATGTGATGTTTGTGAATGAAAAATTTTTAAATTGAAATATTAAATTGAACGCTACAATACAATCAAATAATCTTATCCATTTAAAAAAAGGAAAAGCAAATAATTTTATAAATTGCTAAAAAATCGAAAAAAGTCATATTTTAATATTCACAATTGCATGGTAAATTGATTGACGAAGAAGATAAAGAGGCAAAAATATTATCAATTTATAGATTATATAAATAATAACATATTTCTCTAAAAAACATGAATTTTTTAATTTATTATTTGCATGCAAAAATCTATCGAACTATAAATTGCTAAATAAAGAAATTTACCAAGCTGTTGTATATACCTGTGTGAATAAAAAATAAATAAAACAAATAAGGAAAGAGAAAGAAATGAGAGAAAGAGCAGACAAATATCGCAACTGAGTCTTCTCTTGAGTGTTAATTAAATAGAATTAATGAAAAATAGCGATTTTAAATTTATAACTTAATAATTTATAAAAATTTTGAACTTCTATAAAGAATATAATTAAAATCAAATAATTTTATAGTTATACCTTGCTTTATCACATGTGGCAAATTTATTGGTAACGAGCTTTGTTGTCCTTCAGATGCTTCAGCTTGCCATTTCTCGCCTCCAAATAAGGATTTGTCACTTATGTATTTCGCACTATACACTTTTGATAAAAGTACCTCTATTATTTAACGCTGTTAAAGCCACGATACTAGATACCGCTATATACGCCGCTCTATTTTAAAGATTTCTCTTCGCTTCGCAATATAGATTCTCAATAATGCGAAGATAAATCGAATTGTCGCGGGCGGAAAATTGAATTTGATTCTAATCAATCGTCCCGAAACCAGGAATCTCAGACATGTATCAATGTACACGAGAGTATCTCGAGCGAACGATAACCGACTCGAACTGAGACAACACTAACGAAGTTCCAACTTTTAGTTCCAACTCGTGTAGGGCGGCTACCCTCTCTCCCGGATCCATCTGCCCAATAGTAGCAAGTAGCAAGTCGTCGAGTTTCACGGGCAAAATTCTGGGGCGGACTACCCTGCCCCCACTCTCGCTATCAACTTGCATACCTTTTGACAAAAAATTATACTGCCGGTGATTCAGAATTTGCAAACCGTTATGGTCACACATAATACTGTTACACACCCGTTAGTTTTTCCCTTCCGTTCATAAATTTGATATTTATACCGTACGATTTTTTCTTGATCATTCTGAATCATGGAACTAGGAAGTTTGCCTTAGAAATTAAAATTGTGATTTAATGGCAAATAAAATAAATAAAAAAGTTAGCGTTGACGAACAAAATTTTTGTGAAAATAGTACTTAACGAATATAAATTAAGAACGTTTTAAATTGTATTAAAAATTATAATATAATTGCGATTGAGTTACATATTATTTATTTATTTCATAAAATATTATATATTAATTTTTAATAAAATTTGTACAAAATAATATTCTATAATAAGAATTTCAAATTCTTTTACAAAAATTTATTATTAAAATTAAAGTCGCGCAAATTGTACAACATCCTTCAATAATAGGAAATGGTACAGCGGTAGGGGTGCAGTAATTAAAATGAAATACGTTTCTCTATGTAGCTTGCGTTGATCATACTATTTTCAGCATGAAAATTTAAAAGTTCATTAACAGTTAATTTATAATCAAAAGGTATATCCTGGAAATTAAAACGATGATGTATTTTTGTGTTAACAAATTTTGTAAGTTGCTCTCCATTAATTCGATTCAAGAATTTGAAAAAACATAAAATCCACAGTGTATCGCGCTATTATTCGAAGAGTTTTCTCGGCTTTTTTCGGCAAGCGCAGTCTGTTTTCTTTCTAATGTAGACAGCTCGCACCCTTTCCCCAATACTGAAAATAAGGCAGAAACTCCTATTAAAACGTGATATTTTAAAACAGAAGCTTCTTTTAAAACAGGAGTATACTACAATCCACACGCGACATGCGCGCGTTGCATAAATAAAGTAAATAAAGGAATAAAAATTGACAAATGATGGTATTTTACACGAAATGTAAAACGCATCGTTATCGAAAGAAATATCTTTTAGCTAAACGGTTTGTTTTTTCAATATCATTTATGCATATCTTTCTATGTTTTATATTTAAGTGCATTACTATCTTCTGCTATAAGCTACAATCTATTCGAATTCTTCAAACAAATTCTGACGTTAAAATAAAATTCTCTTTTTCAGAAAATCTGTATCATTTCGAACAATTTTGCGAAAAAAAATCGTTTAACAATTGTTTTATCTGGATCAATGCGTCGTTTATATACTTTAAGATCAGTACATTTTTTAATTTTTTTTAATCGCGTTCTTTTAGAGAAAGTTGAACGATGGCACTCTATTAAACTCTTTTTTATAGATATGTTTTGCTCAGAGTTTTGCAAAAAATGCATGTTCGATGTACTTGCAACGCATTTCAAATCAAATTTACATATATAACTAACTGCCGTTTCTTCAAATAGTCTGAGGGAAAGTCTATTTTATTCAACTCCTTTTTTTATATGAAACTAAAGTGAATGCCACATAACTCTGACCGTTCATCCCTTTTTCCTTGAATATTTTAATTTTTTTATCACTAAACAAAAAACTATAAAAACGTTTTTCTTAAACGGCGACAAAATGTTACTTTTTATAACTGTATATTTTAGGTACTACTTAAAAATCATGTAGTTATAGGAGTTATTCTATTCGTATTACTACATTTCTGTTGCTCTGTTACTCTTCTAGTTTATCAAAAGTTAACATTTGTGCAAGAAAAATTTACAATAAAAAATTGTTTGAAATGCGAGAGACCATTTTTATCGCAATTAATATAATTTTAAAGATTACGTAATTTTTATATATACGACATGTATACTTTTATATACACTGCCATTTTTTTTTAGAACCATCAAAGTACGTTTTTAACAATTTATATTTTTGTTTGTGATTTCATAATATTAATATTAATATTAATATTTGTAAATATTAAAAATATAAAACGTACGTTGAATCATGCGCTAATGTTAAAGAAATAAATTTGAGAGAATTTTAAATTTACTTTCAATTTAAATTTAAATAAATCTGATTTAAATAAATATTTTCCATATGTTTTAATAAATTAGATTTACTGGAATTTTAAATTTTTTTAATATTTTCATTTTTTTTATACATTAGCTTCTGATTTATAAATCTATAATTAATCTTTTACTGAGGAGTACACGGTGCACAAAAATAACGTAATTTTTTTTTTATATTCATCCTTTTTGAAACAACAATTACTTATAAGTAGTGAGATTAATCATTTTTTAAGATAATAATAAACATATAATTATTATTATTATACTGTTATATATCAAAATAATTATAAGAACCCATTTTGATATTTATGATAATGGTGATGTGTAACTCACGAAGAGACTAATCCTTTTATTACTGTTATTATTGATCTAAATGGAAAGTTATTCAAGTCTTATATAGAATTTTAAGGAAAATGGACTTCAAATTTTTAGAAAACATATTGCAATGTATTATCTTTTTCTTTCGTACGCTCTGTTTGACAAGTGAAAAATTACGCAGACAAATGAATAACTACTTTTCTCATCACAGTTTGATCTGTGTGAAAGAAATCTGTGGTAAGAATTGCTCTGTAAACTTCAATGGGACCGCCACTTACCTTTCTCATGGAAGTTTACATTATGAACACAATTAAAACACTAACAAAATTTACGAGTGATGCGCACGTTCTTTTCATTACCATATATCTTTCTTGATTAATGAAGTCACATATTGGCAAAACTAGACTAAAAATCCGGCGAGTTGATGCATGCAAAAATCGAATAGTTTCACTTTTTCGTAATTTTTCAATGACAATTTTAAGTCTCTGTATTTTGTTACTCGTCTTTTGTTATAGTCTTTTTTTCAAAAGAATTCTGCTCTAGTTTCACTGCATATTTTAAGGAACGTGATTTATTAGTTCGACGTTCGCAAAAATTTCGGCATGTTGTTATACTACATAGTATATCTCTTTGTCTCTTTTCCCAATAAAGTAAAACGACTATCAGTTTAAATAGAAAGCAAGATATATTCGAGAAAATTATTATTCTAAATGGAAATATGCGCGGTAATTGTTGCGCAAAGTTTTATAATTGTTACAATGTCCGACCATATACAGACTGCGCGCCGCAATTTATTTCGGTCTTGAAACACAATCCTTTTGCATAAAGCCGGAATATATTTGTAACTAATTAAATTGACGACCAATTTAATATCATTTGATGCTAATAAGCATCTATAAGAATCCCTTCCCCTTAAAACTGTAAAGAATTTATTGCGAAAAATGTCACTTCAGCTCGCAGCGAACCCAGATTTTCCAGTTTACCGGATGGGTCTCCTACCATTCGGATTGTGTTTCAAGACCGACAAAAATTGCGGCGCGCATTCTGTGTATGGTTGGACATTGTAAGAATTATAAAACTTTGCGCAACAATTATCGCGCAGATCTCCATTAGCCTATGATAACTCAATCGTGGATTATTTTTAATAATTCTTTAATCGATTTAAATATATATTTTAATTGTATCGTGTTTAATTTTTATCTGAAAAAAAAAGAGAAAAATTAATTTCATTACATATAGGAATCATGTACTGCGCACACCTTAGTAGAAGTATTAATCAATTCTTACACTTTTTGTGGAACAGACATTGATTGAAGTAATACATATTATGTCAGATTTCGACTGAAAGAGTGTTTTTCTGCAAATGTGAAATCTCTCCACGTCGGGACTGAAGAGGCGCAGCTGTTACTCTACCCCTTTCTCAGGTATAAATGTACGTCTAGCGTAGTTTCCGAAAATATTTTATGTAGAATCCATTAACCTTGGATATACAAATTTCCGTGTTGTATAACAAAACCGTTTAAATCGGACAATTTAGAAGAAGATTTTAAATAAGTAGCTTTCGGGGAACGTGCTTCGTAAACCTCGATTTCGAAATAATCCTTTAATTGCTGTTTAAACAGCTTGATTTAAGCTGCTTATATTAGAATTCCATTTTGCTTTTCTAAACAAACATTATTTGAAAACATTTTGTCATTTAAAATTTCTATTATTATAAGTATGTAATATAAGACACTTGCACGTTTTGTCTTGGAAACTTTGCATAATTTGCGGTCTAAATTCTTAATTTGTGTGAGTTTGCCGAAAATTTCGTCGAAGCGAATTCATAGAAAGCGATAGTCCGCTGATGCTTTTCGAAAGGGAAAGGGCAACGATCTTTGGCAGGCGGTGCAGGCTGCAAGAGCAAATGGCGTTCTTCTATAAGGACAAACAACTGCCAGCTGACCGCTCGTCGCTCGTGCTGTGTTGACCCGTACTTATGGTTCATCTGCTGACACCGCATCGTGTGCTGGAGCCGCACCGTAGCGTGGCGTTTTTCGACACGAATTTTTAACGTGGTCCAATCTCGCCCCTTTAGGATTATAGCTCGGGATTATGAGCGAACTTTAGCCGCTTTAATAAGGGCTTGTTATACCTAAGAGGAATGGATCATTTCATGTCCAACAGTTGTTTGATATCCTAAATTGAGAAAGAGAGATTCACAAGCGATGTATTAATTACGTTATCTCTTAATAATTTAAGCAAGACTTTACCAACAATTGCCAAAGACGTAAATCCTTATAATTTATTATACTTAAAAAGAAAATAATACGTGTAGAGATAATATTTTTTTCATAATTTCACTTACAGTTAATTAAATTTTTCTATCTTATAATTTTCTAGCTCAAATGCATGTTTTTTTAGAACTCTCTCGTCGCAGGAATGCATGAAAGATTTGCAGAGCGTGAAAAAAGGCGGGAAATATTATTGTGCGTCCAATACAGGAAGCGCCGAGAAAGAGATGTGA